GTGTGTGTGTGTGTGTGTGTGTGTGTGTGTGTGTGTGTGTGTGTTTAGTCCTGGAGACTGAACCCAGGGCCTTTGCACTGAGCTGCAACCCAACCCTTTTTCCGTGTTTTGAGACAGGGTCTCACTAAGTCTCAAACTTCCCATCCTCCTGCCTCAGCCTCCCAGAGTGCTGGGATTCCAGGTGCCGTCACTGCCCCTCTGGAAGGTTCTTCCCACGTGTCCCCCTCTTTTCCCAGCCCTGCTTTCTTGTGGTTCCCCCACCTGTCAGCCAGCATTTCTCTCTCCTCCTGTTGCTTCTCTTTGTTAAAAGATAATTTAAAATAAAAAGCAAAATCATTACTCTCATATATATATAAAATGCACACATTAAAGAGTTATTATTGAGCTAAAATCTACATAGCATAAAATTAACCGCCTTTTCCTGTGGTACTAGAGGTTGAATCAAGGGCCTTCCCATTGAGCTACATCTCCAGCCTTTTATTATTATTAGTAGTAGTAGTAGTAGCATTTTGTCTTTTGAAACAGGATCTTGCTATATAGTTTAGGTTGGCCTTGAACTCACTATGTAGCCCAGGGTGGCCTCGAAGTCACAGTGATCCTCCTGCCTCAGCCTCCCAAGTAGCTGGGTCACAGACAGGCACCACCCTGCCCAGGTAGATCAGGGAATATTGAGCTGACTGTGCAAATGGAGGCCAACTGGTTTCTTGCACACTGCGAGAGGGGAGCCCAAGGTCTGTCCACAAGACAGGACCAAGTCTGCTCATCTGAGGACAAGACCTATGTTATATTCCTGTCAGTTAGTCACAATATGCAGAGTGGTAAAATCGGGCAAAGAGGACAGGGCTGCAGCCCCCAGAGACTCAGACCACTCGGGGATAGCATTAGAGACTCACAGTCATACCATGTGCTTGTTCCCCATGCCTGGGATCAAACCCAAGGGCCTCATACATGCTAAGCTGAGCTGTGCCCCAGCCACCCACATTTTCTGACAGTCTCCCCTGGCTGGCCTGCTGGGCCTCCTCCAGTGACTGCAGTCACCAGCCCCCCGACCCAGAGGGAGCCGCCATCTGCCTGCATGTTCCCAGGGTCTGCAGCCCTCACACACCCAGGGCATGTCCCCTACCCCCCAGGGGAGGCCCTTCATCCATTCACACCCCACCAGCCTCTGGCTGTCCCCTGGCAGCCACGCTCCTGGGGGCTGGGTTTGGGCTTTGCCTCTTTGCAGTTAGGGACCTCAGACAGAGTGTTTAATCCCTCTGTGCCTCAGTTTCCTCATCTGTAAGATGCCAGTGAAAATTGTACCCACTCACAAGACTTGGGTCAAGTGAATTGATGTGGCGTGGAATGCATATAAAATTGGCCAACAGGGTGTGGTAGCAAAGGCCTCTAATCTAGCAACCTGGGAGGCTGAGGCAGGAGGATTACAAATTCAAGCCCAGCCTGGGCAATTTAGCAAGACCCTATTTCAAGTAGAGCGCTTGCCTAGCATATGTGAGTCCCAGGGTTCAATCTCTAGCCCTGGGGGAGAAATCTGGGCAATCGAGAGCACTCCTGATCTCTCCAAGAGTCCTTACCAGGACCCCGCAGTAAATTCTGAAATGTCACTCTGACTGGTGAAAGAGAGTGTTGGTTAGAATGAAGTTTGGGCAATGGCCCCATCACTCCTGCCCAGTCTGGAACCAGTGTCCTCCAGGCTGGTGATAGGGTGACGCCTGCTGGTAGAACGCTAGATGTGCAACCGTGGGCCTCCCTTTCCTTGAGGGTCTCAGCTCTGTTTGCAGCTTGTCTCTGGCTCTTCTAGCTCAGTGATCTCAAGGGTGAGGAGAGGGTGGGAGGTTTATCAGCTTTCCTGATGGGCATGTGCTGCCCACATTACAAAGTCACCCTGTAGAGTCCAAACCTTTGCTCCCTGTGTCTGAGCTGATTCAGCCTCCTGGGCTTCTTGCATGCCTTCCTACATTCTGTAGGCAGAAGAGCTGGTGAGAAGGATTCTGCTCAGAGGTGGGCCTGGCTGTGGCACCCGTGGCTCACAACACCTGGCTGTCCCATCTTAGAACAAAATAAAAAAGCTGTGCTGCACGCCTGTACTCTCAGCACCCTGGGAGGCTGAGGCAGGAGGATTGCTGCTTTGAGCCCAGCCTGGTCAATTTAGTGAGATCTGCTCTCAAAATAAAAAATGGGCGGGGGATGTAGCTCAGTGCAAAGACTTGGGTTCAATCCTCATTACTGCACAAAAACAAAAATAAAACTGTGTCGTGCCTGCCAGGCCTCCTGCTATGTGGCCTCTGCCACTTTTCTGATTTCTTTGTGTCTGTGCACAGCCATCTTTCCCAGCCCCTGCATGGTGAGGCCTTGTCTGTCCCCGTCACTGACCCATCCAGGCTCTAGCCCAGGGCCCAGCGGACAGTGGGTGCCCAATAAGTACTTGATGAATGAATGAACGAACGAATGAATGAATGTTCCAGCCAGACTTGCATGACCCTGCTCCCTCCAGGGGAAGCATCCTGCACCCCAGCTGCTTCCCTCGGTGTAGCTCCTCAGTCAGATCACTGCCTGCGGAAGCCCCATTTCCTCTCCCCAGAGCTGGCTGGGGGCCTGCCCTGTGCCCTGCCATCTCCATGCTTTTCTGGCTGTCGAGTTTATCATAACCTCTGGCTGTCACGGGCCTCCCTTCTTGAGTCAGCCAGGTGTGAGTTTGAGGACAGGGGTGTGTCTGGTCTCTCAAGATCCCCTCTGCCTAGAAGAGGCGCTGCTGTGTGCCCCACAATGGGACCCAGAGCCTGGGCTCCCGGCTTGCCTGGCTTCTGATCTCACAGCAGGCTGTGGGGCCTTGGGTGCTTTCCCCAGCCTCTCTGTGCCTCTGTTCCCTGATTGTGAAATGGGTTTGAGGACAGTGTTTCCCCGAATGGGCACTGGGAGAGAATTGTCCATAGGCACTGGGAGGGAATCTGTCCACGGCCAGAGTGTGGTCAGGGCCAGTGCTGGTGGGAACCTTGTCCATAGTCCTTGAACAAGACGTGAGCTTCCAGCACTGTATCTGGGAGCTTCGAAATGCATGGAGGGTGCACCCAGTGCTTTGCACCTCTGAAGACTTACACCCCCACACCCAGGACCCCACTCCTGCTCCAGAGCATGACTGTCTGGTGGGGTAGGGATCAAGCACCCTTTTTCCCCATTCGCTGACCAATCCAAGGAGCAGCCTGAGCCTGGTGTGCAATAATGAGAAATAATCTCTTCTTTTATTTGGACAAATATGGTCTTCCATGTCATTTCTGACTATCTCTTTCCTTTTTGTTTTTTGTTTTTTGAGACAGGGTCTCACTGAGTAGCCCAGGCTGGCCTTGAACTTGTGCTGATCCTCCTGCCTCAGCTCCGAGTGCTGGGATTACAGGTGTGTGCCCCCATGCCTGGCTTCATTTCCCAATCACTTGCTGCCACCCCTAGCCTGTGTCTGTGCCTTCCTGATCCCCATCCCAATTTTCCCTGGGACCAGATGCCATCTCTCGGGTCAGCCTCTAGTGTTGCCTGCTCAGCAAGTCCTTTCCCAAGCACCTTGTCAGAAGGGCCTGTCCCCTCACACTGGTCCTGTTCTGAGTCACTTTTATTTTGTTATTTGTTCAGTGCTCCCATTCCTCACCCGAAGAATATGTGCTCCAGAAAAGCCACAATGGTGGCCCTGGCTCTGCTGAGAGCCTAGCAGAGGGGATAAAGGACAGAGGGGTGCTGTTCCGGGGTCCTTTCGTGGGCCCAGCGCAGGCACCAGACTCCTGCTTGGCTGGGGAAGGGAGGTCGGCCCTGGATCTCGCCCTACTCGGCCTGTCCACAGACACAGGAGGTCAGGGCTTTGAGTGAGCCCTTGACTACCCACTAAGGTGAAGCCATGGTGGGCCCAACCTTCCAGGGGCTCTCCTTGGCTTTAGGAACTTCCTGGGGGCTGGATGGGTTGGTGGGGCAGAAAGTAGGGGCCTCAGCCCCTCTGCAGGGTTTCGGGGAGTCCTTGGGCTGAGCAAAGCTCTGCCCATCCAGGAGTGTGCCCTGAGTCACTGGGGACTGGTTCCCCCCACAGAACACAATATAGGTCTTCACTGATGGGGTGACAGGGCCCTGGCCGGGACCCAGGGCCTGGGGCAGCACTGTGGGTGCTGCCAGGGAGAGCTGCTTCCCACGGGCACAGTCGATGACAAAAGTCACATGCACCATCAGGATGGCCTGAGGGTGGGCCTGTTTTCCACCTAGAAGGGAGGAAAGAACCACAGGTTTGTGTTGGCACATCATGACTCACTAATTCCTCAGTTCATTCATTTTTCTAGCCAATACGAAAAGATGAAGCTGGATATGGTGGTGCACACCTGTGATCCCAGCACTCAGGAGGCTGAGGCAGGGGGATCACTGTGAATTTGAGGCCAGCTTGGGCTACACAGAGAGACACAGATAGGACAGGTGGGGCTTTAAGGGCATGATTTCAGCATGGGAGAGACCCAAGGGGTTTTTTATTGTTGTTGTTTGGGTTTTGGTTGTTTGCTGTTTGTTTGAGACAGGGTCTTGTTATATAGTTTGGGCTGGCCTTGAACACACAGCAGTCCTCCTGTCTCAGCCTCCCGATTGCTGGGATTACAGGTTGTTTATATTAGTTTTGTTTTGCCTTGCTGAGGATGAGCCCAGGGCCTCACATCCACCAGGCTGGCGCACCCTTGCACCCCTAGTCCAAGACAGTTCAGGTCCAGCTCTCCTTTTGTGAGCCGTCTGCCTTCTAGCCCTTGTCTCTGCGTTCCTCTACCTGGCCTTGCTCAGCCCCTCCCCAGGATCCGGTTTGAGCAGGGTCTGGGGACCAAGATCCAGCCTTTCTAACAGGCGCCCTGGGGCTGCTCTTTCTGCTGCTTGGAGGGGCAGATGTGGACAGCAAAGTCCTTGACACAGGGATGGCTGGGGCCAACTGTTACAGCTGAGGAAACTGAGGCTCAGCTTGCATAAATGCTGGTGGTCTTCAGGTGCACACCTGTGGTCTCTCCTCCCCTCCTACATAATTTTCTTTATTTTTTTTCTTGGTACTGGGAATCGAGCCTAGGGCCTTTGCATTGAGCTATATCCCCTGCCCTTTATTGATTTACTAACTCACTAAATGGGGCTCCAATTTGTAATCCCCTTGCCTCAGCCTCCCAGAGCGCTGGGATAACTGTTACGCACCATCAAGCCCCGTACCCGCCCCCCTACACAATCTTCCTCACAGCCTTGGAGAATCCTACCCGCGCCTGGGTCATCTGCTGTAACCCGGCCATACCTCAGCTCTGAGCCCAGTACTCTGTAGAAGAGTAAAGGAACCAATCACATCAACTTATCAATGAAGCTATGGTCAGAGCAGGTCTGTCTGAATCCAAAGCCTGTGCTCATACAAGAGTAACTTTTCACCTGGGTGTGATGGTGCACACCTGTAATCTCAGCGCTCTGGGAGGCTGAGGCAGGAGGATCACAAATTGAACCCCAGCCTGGGCAATTTAGCAAAAGCCTGTCTCAAAATTTTAAAAAAGGGCTGGGGTTGTAGTTTAGTGCAAAGGCCCTGGATTCAATCCCTAGAACCTCCACCCTCCAAAAAAGTTACTTTTCAGGTTACCAGAGTGATACACCTGTTCTTGTAATTACATGCTCTCAAAGTGAGAGAGCTCAGAAGGAAATTTACATGCTGGTAGGTTGCTTAATACCAGAAGTGAATGAACCCCACTGCTCTCAAGAACATCACAGCCATGAATAGTGAGTGTCCCGTGGGACTCCAGCCAGCCACCTCCCCTCAGCCGAGTGCCCTGAGCTCCTCTCACCAGAGCTGGTCTCCAGGCCGGGGGTGTTTTTGAGGGCTTGTCTTCGGTCCCTGGGGTCCTCTGAGGGGCCCATGCCTGGCTCTGGCAGGAGGGGACCAGTCCTCAGCCACCTCTTCCAGGATGTGGCTACTTGGCCGGAATGAGACATTTTATATTCACCAGATCTGGATCCATTGAGCACGGTCCACCTGGAGCTACAGGAACTGGCCTGGGGCAGTCAGGGGCCTGCTTTGATCAACAGGGTTATGTCAACAGGATTACTGTTGGGTCCAGGGGCTGACTTCCTACAAACACTGTCTCTTCTAGAGCCAGCTGCTTCCTGGCTCACCACAGCCCTCCGGAACCTCCGCAGCAAGGCCTCACTTTCTCAAAGCACACTCATTATCTGGCTGCCTCATCAGCTTCTTTTGTTTGTTCCCTAAAAACTGTATATAACTGTGCTCGGCGGTGCATGCCTGTATTCCAGCACTCTGGGAGGCTGAGGCAGGAATATCACAAGCTTGAGCCCTGCCTGGGGCAATTTAGCAAGACCTTGTCTCAAGAAATAAAGGGCTGGGGATATAGCTCAGAGCAAAGGCCCAGGGTTTAATCCCCAGGACCATAAAAAAAAAACAAAGACAAAAAAGGAAATTTGGTGTTGCTACATTAAATATAAACAGTATCACTTTCATAAATAAGAAGTAGCCACTGGGCATGGTGTGAACAACTGTAATCCCAGCCACTGGGGAGGCTGAGACAGGAGGGTTGCAAGTTTGAGGCCAGGCTAAACAATTTATACCCTCAAAATAAAAAATAAAGAGGGTCTGGGGAATTAGGTCAGTGTGAAGTCCTGAGTTCAACCCCCAGTACCAAAACAAAACACAATAATAAAAAAATTTAAAGGCTCATGCGCAGAAAGCAGAATGAAGGTCTCACTGCAGATGGCCACGCCTGGGCTCCAGGACCTGTGCACAGACCTGTTTTCCTGAGGAACTTGCAGACATGGAAGGCTGTGGACTTTGAGATGTGGATTACCCTGGGATCTGCAGGCGAGCACAGTGGGTCACATGGGTCTGGAGCTGGAAGACCCTTTCCTGGCTGGATTAGACGGACCTGTGGGCAGGAGGACAGCAGAGGGAAGTGAGAAGGACTCCACTTGCCGCTATTAGCCTTTGAGACACAGCCAAAGGGATACAATGAAACTCAGACTCAGCTACAACTCGGCCACTCCTCCTTTTTTTTTTTGGTATCTGGGATAGAACTTGGGTCCTTGCGCTTGCAAGGCAGGCAGCGGAACCACTGAACTAAATCCCCAGCCCTCTTTTTTTTTTTTTTTGACCGTCTTACTATGTATTTCAAACTGGTCTTGAACTCAGCCCAGGCTGCCCTCAAACTCTTGGCGATCCTCCTGCCTCAGCTTCCTGAGTGCTTGGATTACAAGGGTGCACCACATGAGCAGCACACGGTCACTTCTGACACCAAGAAGCAGCTGGCTCAGCAGCAGACACCAGCAGGACATTCTCCTAATTCAGTTCTGACACCGACTGCATGTTCCCCAAGACTGCGGCCCACTTCAGGTGCTGGTGGGAGGCCCAGATAGTTTTACCTGTGCTCCTAACCGACCACAGCCCCTTCTTGGGTTCAACTAATTTGCTCAAATAGCTCATAGAACTCAGGGAAAGTTTTTTTTTTTCAGTACTGGAGATTGAACCCATGGTCTTTCCACTGAGCTACATCTCTGGTCCTTTTTATTTTTAATTTTGAGACAGGGTCTTACTAAGTCACTAAGCTGCTCCAAACTGGACTTGAGTTTGCAGTCTTCCTGTCTGAGCCTTCCAGAGTGCTGGGCTTACAGGCATGCTCCCCTATGCCTGGCTTTACCAGTTTATTATAAAGATACTACAGGCTGGGTGTGGTGGCCCATGTCTATAATTCCAGTGCTTGGGAGAGGTTGAGGCAGGAGGAACACCACAAGTTCTAGGCCAGCCTGGGCTACAGAGTGAGTTCAAGGCCAGACTAAACTTCATAGCTTTTCACATGCCAAAGATTGAAACCCCCACACATGAACCTATCAAAATGGATCAAAGATCTAAATATTAAAACAGAAACACTAAATCTCCTGGAAGAGAGAATAGGTAGAATTCTCAAAGACATTGGTGTAGGCAAAGACTTTATGAACAAAACCCTATTTGCAAAGGAACTATCACAAAGAATCAACAACTAGGATCTCATCTTATTAAAAAGCTTTTATTTTTCACCAACAGAGTGAAAAGACAACATACAGCATGGGAAAAAAATTTACCAGGTATTCATCAGACAAATGACTACTATCTAGAATATATAAAGAAATCAAAAAAATCAGGCTCCCCAAATTTGAAGACCCAATCCAAAAATGGGCATCTGAAAAGAATAGACACTTCTCAGATTAAGAAGTAGAAATGGCAAATAAATATATGAAAAATGTTCAACCTCACTGGTCATTTGAGAGATGCAAATGAAACCCACTCTAAGATTCCATCTTACTCCAGAAAGAATGGCTGTTATCAAGAAATCAACCAGTAACAAATGCTGTCAGGGCTGTGGGGTAAAAAGGAACCCTTCTCCACTGTTGGTGGGAGTGTAGACTGGTGCAACCACTGTGGAAATCAGTGTAGACATTTCTCAAAAAACTAAAACTAAAGGTTCCATTTGATCCAGCTATTCCCCTTCTTAGTATCTTTCTGAAAGAATTAAAAGCATCATATCATAGCAATATGTGCACCCATGCTTATAGGGGCACAGTTTGTAATAGCTAAATTTTGGAAACAGCCCAAATGCCCATCAATAGACAAATGAATAAAGAAGGTGTGGGATTTTTATACAACTGAGTACTACTCTGCCATAAGGAAGGGTGAGCTTCAGACATCTACAGCTAAATGGATGCACCTTGAGACCGTACTCTTAAGTGAAATAAATTGGACACACATGTTTAAATACTGCATTGTTTCTCTGGTGTGAGAAAGTGAAAGTGGAAATAAGGACTAGAATGCATAATGTATAGGGAAATGGGAAGAAAGTTCAAATGGGAAGGGGAACAAGGGAAGGGGGGAGAAAGGAAGAAGGGACAGGAAAAAAGTGAAAATAGAAGAAAAAAATGGAAACAAAGCTTTTGTACATAGCGAGTGGAGGGGGCATGAGGGGAGGGGGGAATGGGAAAAAAGAGGCAGGAGGTATCGTGTACAGGTGCAAATTCCCTATGATGAGTGCTATCATCATGTGTGCCTAAAATGTACCAATAAATATTTTGCTATTTAAAAAAATAAAATTTTGTTCTGTTTTGTGCTACTGGAGATTGAAGCCAGAACCTTTGTACTGAGCTACATCTCCATCCCTTTTTAATTTTTATTTTGGGACAGGATCTTGGTAAGTCACTGAGTTGCCCGAGCTGGGCTCAACCTTGTGATTCTCCTGCCTCGGCCTCCCATAATGCTGACATTAGAGGTGTGCACCATCACAAATGAGTAAAATAAATAAGAATTTTCAAAGTATGGACCAAGGATGCCTGTGAAGAGTACAAAAACCATTTCCTGGGACTAGGTGTGCAGCTCTGTAGGCGAGATCATGCCTGGTATACACAAGGTCCCGGGTTTGATCCTCAGCACCGCAAAACACAAACAAACCAAGAAAGAATATTTAATTTAATTTAATTTTGTTTTTGTTTTTTGTTTGTTTGGTTTGTTGTTGTTTTTTTTTTTGGTACCGGGATCAAACTTGGGTCCTTGCACTTGTGCAGCAGGCAGTGAAACCACTGAGTTAATCTCCAGCCCCATTTTATTTGTTTTTTGAGACAGAGTCTCACTGTGTAGTTCAGACTGGCCTTGTATTCACTATTTAGCCCAGGTTGGTCTCGAACTCATTGCAATCCTCCTGCCTCAGCCTCCTAAGTGCTGGCCTTACAGGCCTGCACCACCATACACAGCTACTTTTAGTTTTCTGAGAATCTCCATACTTATTTCTATAGTGGCGCTACTAGTTTACATTCCCACCAACCACATACAGAATAGGATTTTTTTTTCCCCACAGCCTCACCAGCATTTGTTATTATCTGATTTCTTCATGATGGCCATTCTTTCTGGAGTAAGATAGAATCTCAGTGTTATTTTCATCTGCATTTCTATAATGTTCAGAGGTGTTGAACATTATTCCATGTATTTATTGTCCTGAGAAGTGTCTATTCATTTCAGTTGCTCATTTTTTGATTGAGTCTTTAAATTTGGGAGGTACAGGTTAGTGGTGCCTAGTGAGCATGAGGCCCTGAGTTTGATTTCTGGTACAGTGGACCCTCGACTTATGAACTGAATTCATTCACAAGGGCTTGTTGTAACTCAAGTTGGTTGTAAGTCAAGACTTACATTCCCATAAGAAATAATGGAAATACCCAAACCTCCCAAGCACCCTTTAAGTAACTTTTTTGTTTTTGGTACCAGAGATCGAACTCAGGACCTTGCACTTTCGAGGCAGGTGCCGGAACCACTGAGCTAAATCCCCGGCCCCTGTCTTTTCTTTAACACTGCTCTGTAGTATGACATGATATTGTCATTAAGGAAGTAAATGTAACAATTGGTTTTTTCTCTGTCTTGGTGGGTCTTCTCCACAAATGTTTGTAGCTCTGTCTACTTTTTCAGGATTTCATTTATTTCAGAAGAATTTTGCTGCATTGATTGTTGATACTCCCCCTCCTCTTCAGAAAGTTCCTCAGCCACCATTCTCTGTTGCTCAGCCAGAAATTACTGAAGTCCCTCGTAGACAGTTCCTCTGAGTGTTCCCTCACCAGTTCCTCAGCATCACCACTGTCTGCCTGCAAGCCTGTGGATTCTGCTATAATGACAGCGTCATACACCACAGGGTCAATTGAAGGCTCAGGCTCCTCTACACAGCCTTCAAAGTCTCTCTCCTGTATCATTTTGGCCACATTTTCTTCCAGGTAGATTTCAGTATCCTTAGAGAGACATTGGCCCAGAATTTTTCAATTAATAGCACACAGGAAAGATGCAACTCAAGTTTTTGATCGTAAGTTAAAACTAAAATTCTTGTTGTAACCCAAGTTGTTTATATGTGAGGCTGGTTGTAACATGAAGGTCTACTGTACCTAAAAATGAAAAAGAGTTTTTATTTTGATCACTGATTCATTTTGATTTTAGTTTAGTACATAATAAGAGATATGGGTCTAGATTCAATCTTTTGCCTGTGGACAGCCAGTTTTTCCAGCACCATTTATTAAACAAGCTGTTTTTCCTCCAGCATATGCTTTCTGCCCCTTTGTCAAAGATCAGATGGCTGAATGTGCCTGGGGTTGTTTCTGCATCCCCTGCTCTGTTCTATTGATCCACGAGTCTGTTTTTGTTCCAGTGCCATGCTGCTTTTACCTCTGTGGCTTTGTACTATAACTTCAAGTCAGAGATTGTGATGCCTCCTGCTTTGCTCTTCTTTCCCAGGATTGCTTTTGCTATTCTGGGTCTCTTCTGGTTCCATAGGAATTTTAGGATTGTTTCTTCTAGTTCTGTGAGAAATGCTGTTGGCATTTTGATTGGAGTTATAGTAAATCTGTGTATCAGTGTTGGAAGTATGTTCATTTTGACAATATTGGTCCTGCCCAGCAGGAACGGGGTTATCTTTATGATGTCCTTTCAATCTCGAGGCCACTGATGAGTGCAGATTTCAATCAACCAGTTGAGCTGTGAGAGTTGTTTCTAGTTGGAACATTAAAGCCCAGATCTCTGGAACGTGCACTTAACCGATCAACAAAGTCAGAAAAATCTAATGTCGTGCTTTTCTCTCTGATGCAGCATCTTTAGAATCCAGTTGTGCCCCTGGTCCCTTGGTCTCTCTGGCTCAGGCTTGTTTGTTTGGTTGTTTGTATTTTCTCTTTAGTCAGACCCTGCACTGGTCCCCCGAGTGTTCTGGGATGTACTTTCCTTATAGATCAGGAAACAGTTTAGGATGGAGAAGTAGTCCCAAGGAATCAGCATCTTCTTGCAAAGCAAAGTCCTTGGGCAGGGTGGCCACACTGCCTGGGGAAGCCAGCATCAGTCTCATCAAATGGGAGGAGGGGCTGCTTCCATGGGCCAGGGATC